TTAGGCAGCAACCACCTGCAAATGTGAGCTTATCTAGTGGAGGTGATATTGGTTCTCAACAACCTTCTGCTTGAGGGGCAAAGTGATCTCCTCCAGTTTTCCTCCTGTAAATCTGGTAGGCATCGAGGAAATAGCATTACGTACTTTTTGCACCGATCGCTTTGTGCAGTTTTGGCCTTTTTTCCTTTTTTTTTTTTTTTTTTTGTGTGTTTCTTTTTGTGTGTGTGTGTGTGTGCAATGCCACCTTCATGCAGGATCTGTTGTACAAGAAAATTTTGAGGTTTTTGCAATCTTTTTGCACTCCTTCCCCCCCCTTTCCTTCTCTGTCATTTTGATAATGGATGAAGCACAAATGCATAAGATTACCCATTCATGTTACAAACTTAGAATGAGTTAGGCTTATAGGCACACAATCATTTTGCAAATTGAACACCTTAACTCCATTCAAATTTTGTTTAAAAAGGCAGACAATTAAGTTGGTTGATCATATAACATAAAACCAAATACAACTTTAAATAGAAACCATAGGGAAGAAACAGATGTTATATTTATTTCAATTTGATAGTGCGGTAAACATCTAAAGAGCCTAAACCGTGTATTCAGACTGCTTCCATCCACCAAAGCTTTCCTGTTCCGCCTGATAACCCCCCTCGTAACCAGTCTGTGAAGAAGCAAACACAACTTAATTAGCAGAGATTCAGAGAAATGTTGCAACAAGCTGCTATGTACTATTCTGCTGATACATAAAATGGTTTTTGCAAAGATTAACCAAGCAATACCTCTGGCGTGAAGGTAAGGCCAACTCTGATTTCCCCACAATATTCCTCATCCTTAACAACATTATACGATGTTGGTGGAATGTTTCCTTCCTCAAACAGTGCACGCAGGGAAATACTGGACGGTCATAAGAACCACGTTAGTGTTCCAGGTCTGCCTTGATAAATCGAAAACAGAAAATAATAATAGTACTCACGTTGCTTCTCCCACAAAATCATCCGAAGTGAGATGATCACGGTCCATTATTTTCAACTTGATTTCGGTAACACCTTCAGCGATACTGAATTCAAATGTCTCGTTCCACTCTGGATCAGACCCTTTTCCTGCAAAAGAATTATATATCAGAAACATGCGTGACATCTGAAAGATACCATGTTTATCATGTATTGTGTGTTCATTCTTTTGATGAGAGACACCTGCTGCAACACTGCTTTTCTGTTCCTGACTGCGGCACGTGAGGATCACGTAAGGATCCATTTTAGCTGCTCATGTCAACATTCAAAACATAAAAATTGAGTTTAGACCATGACCAACATCAAAATTGTTTGACCTTTTTTGATGATCTAAATTAAGCAAGCATGAAAATTGATCTGATCTATATATATATATATAGCTTCTTGTTAGTCGAACTCAGGGTCAGGGGTTAAGGGAACCATTACGGCACAAGGGCCAGTATGATCTGATTTGCAGTTTTATGGGATTTTCCTGAAGCCAATCTAAACTATGAAATGTCATTAAGCCGTTTAAGAAGCGAACTGAATCAGATAAAAACTACAATGGATGATTCTAAAGCTTAAGTTATGATTCAATAAAGAAATCATGGACGAATGAATCAAGTTGAGAAACGAATTCAGCAAACAGGATGCAACTAATG